TTTAAAGTAGAGGAATGTTTGTGATTGGATACCTGGTTGCTAATGGGTTGATAGAGAAAGAAAGATTGATGATGGCGGCTTTGCATTTGGAAAGGAATACTCTAGGGTTGAGAAGGTAAATACATTGTTTTGGAGTTATGATAGGAGAGTTTGTAAATGAGTGATTTTAACATTGTAAGGTATTCAGGTTATTGAAGAATTTCTTCCCTAGGATTTAGAGAGCATTGACATGATATTGGGCATGACATTGACTACACGATCCTTAAAGGGAAACTGAGATGTATTGGAAACTCCTGAAAATGACCCTATGATACCAGAGTTAAACTGAACCATAATAGGGAGAAGTAAATATTATTATCGAATGCAAATAGACGGTTACAATCAACACACTTGAAAGGGGAAATACAACACAAGCGACATACAATTCGCATTAAAGTAGATCCCGAGTGATGGTGATGAAGACTAGGGGGCTCAGAAAGGTCGCGGTAAGGTAGAGAAGGGTGGCAGTGAATACGGGCAGCTCGAATGGCAGGACAGTATGAGGGGGCAATCCAAACAATAGTAGGTTGTTGTTTGGGACTATTGGACAGCGAGAAAATAGCGGAAGGAAGGCATTGAGTGCTGCGACAATGAAGGTGGATGCTTGAGACAGCGATAGCGGCGAGGACGAGAGAGGAGAAGGCGATGGTGGCGGTTGGAACTGCAGAAAACAATAATCGAAGGCTGTTATGGGTAGTTGCAACAAGGTACAGTGGTTGGGAGCAATGTGGGAAGATGTGGAAGAGGATGAGAGTCAGATAATCACCACCTTAGAAGAGAGATACAGTCAGAGAACTGCCCATTCCCTCGGATTGAACCCTCGAATGGGAAACGGGTGTCGGTGGCTATCTTGATAAAAATATGAAATAAAACACACCAAAAGCTAACCGTAAGATAGGAAACAACAAATTTATAATAAGTATTAGTAGTGCATTCCCTCGGATTGAACCCTCGAATGGAAAACGGGTGTCGGTGGCTATCTTGATAAAAATATAAAATAAAACACACCAAAAGCTAACCGTAAAATAGGAAACAACAAATTTATAATAAGTATTAGTAGTTAGAATATAAAGAAATTAGAATAGAAATAGAATAGAAAATGAAGGGATCAAATAAGAAAAATGGTTCGTAGTATGTAGCTGCAATAGTGCGACAATACGCTCCCGCGTCAATCTTTCGGGGTAGGGAGTTTCGACTTCATTCGTCGAAGCATTTAGTTCTTTGTAGCACGAAGTCAAGTTTGCCACGTTGAATGTAACTGAGATATTACAACCCTCTAAGAGGTCGCTCATGTAGGTGTTTTCATTCCACAACACATTCTGGTAGAACAGATATACGTCTTTTTATGGCAAAACCTGAGCTGGCATTATAGACAGACGAGTATTCTCACATAACAGGTATAAAGTCATCCAATTCGTAATATGTTCTTTCCACTTCACATGCTCGGCGTAATGTAGCAGAAAAATCAATATGTTAGGAGAAGTCAACTCTGGGGTGAAATCTATGGCAGGCAGCACCACTTTAATTAGCAACAACTCAGGAGCCCCTCTTCTTCTTCGCTGATAAGACTTAGGTCCCATTGAAGAATTTTCTTACCCATCAAGCTCCTAAGACAAATTTTCAAGATATGATTTATTCCTCCTGTTTGGACATCTGATGATGGATACCATGAATGCATGTAAAATACAATGGCAGGCAGCACCACTTTAATTAGCAACAACTCAAGAGCCCCTCTTCTTCTTCGCTGATAAGACCTAGGTCCCATTGAAGAATTTTCTTACCCATCAAGCTCCTAAGACAAATTTTCAAGATATGGTTTATTCCTCCTGTTTGGACATCTGATGATGGATACCATGAATGCATGTAAAATACAAACTCGAGGCACTATAATCTCGTATTCTATCAGAACGATCATTACATCAGAGTTACTATCTTCTAGAATAGCTACTGTTACTTTAGCTAGAATCTCTATCTTGGAGTCAACTGGAATCGATGGCGTCTCTTACTTAGTTGAGAATTGAGAATCCTTTTTGAAGTCTGTTGGATCACTGTTTATCTCTTCAACTGGAAGTCAATACTCCTGCTTTGTATCCTCACCTTCTTCAGTTTCTATTGTATCATTACCCAATTTTTAAAGAACGCCCTGCTCTATGAAGCAGATCACCCCTCTAGTTTTGCAATATGATTCAACATGCCCAATTTTGTGGCACTTGCAACACTTTCTGACTGAGACAGATTTAGGGATGTTGATTGGTTCCACCTGTCCTCAAGTTTGACTAAGCTTTTCCTCAGAAAGGGTCAACTTCGATATTCTCTTGGGTGTAATCTGGTTGTAAGACACCGAAGTTGAGTGCTAACTGTAAGACATGGTGTCTCTTACTCGGCTGAAAATTGAGAATCCTCTCTGAAGTCTACATTTTCTGGATCATTGTTTATCTCTTCAACTGGAAGTTGATACTCTTGTTTTGTGTCCTCACCATATTCAGTGTCTGCTATATCACTACCCAATTTTTCAAAAATGTTATGCTCAGTGAAACAGATCACCACCTGGTAGTGCAGTCTGATTAAACATGGTCAAATTTGTGGCGCTTGCAACACTTCCTGGCTATAATAGATTTAGGGATGGACATTAATTTCAACTGTTCTCTACTCTGACTCAGGTTTTTTCTTGCACAGGGTCAACTTAGATATTCACTTGGGTGTGATCTGGTTGCAAGACCATGAGGTTTACCATTGTCTGTAAGATGTGGTGGCTGCCCGATAAAGTGGTCTCTCCACTTCTGAAACTAGAACTTGAATCTTTTGCCTATATTAAGCTGGTAGGAACTAGTGTTGAATCCCCTACATCTTCAGATTCTCCAGCTCTCCACACGATGGTTGTTCTCTCAGTCTACTCTGATACTGGATTCCAAAGCATTGTGGTCGCACTTTTGCACACTAAAGCCCTCTAAATGGAAGGGATTCAAAACCTCATCTCTGACTCCCCTTTGGCTGTCCCAATCCCAGTCGAGGGCAATCTCTCATTCGATTTCATACTCAATTTCAACAAGCCTCTGTTGAAGTTGGCGGATCTCTCGTTATATATCGTCTCGACCAGGCTCGAGTAATTATCTCCTCGGTGGCATTGTTAGAATTTAGGGTTGGGAGGTGAAAGAGGATAAAATAATTGTTTAAGGTTGTAATTCTGAAAATCAGCAAGAGAGAACTAGGTTTAGGGATGTTTGGTAGTGGAAAGGGCATTTGGTGGTAGGAAAGAAAATTCTCATGTTATGGTGAACGCTAGGAAACTTTAAGATAGAACTAGGGTTAGCCTAGCTCTAAGACCAAATAATACCGGAGTTACCCTAAATAATAATAGAGAAAAGCAAATATTATTACCATAAGTAAATAGACGGTTATAATAAACACACTTGAAAGGAGAAATACAACACATACAAAACATAACTCGCGTTAGGGCGGATCCCGGGTGATGGTGACAGTTAGGAGGCTTAGATAGGTGGCGACAAGGTAGGGAAGGGGATTCCAGATTGTGGATGAAGGGTGGCAGCTATTATAGGCAGTTGGAATAGCAGAACAACACAGAGCGGCAGTCCAAACAGCAACAAGTTGGTGTTTGGGGCTGCTGGACAGCGAGAAAACAACAAAAATAAGGTGTTGCGTGCTACGACAGCGAAGGTGGAGTGCTGCGACAGTGACGCCTGCTAGGTCGAGGGAAAAAAAAGCCATGGTGGCGGTTGGAACAACAAAAAAGAGCAATGGAATGCTGTTGTGGGCGGCTGCAGCAAGGTACGGGGGAAGTGAGCAATGTAGGATTATGCAGAAGGGGATAAAAGAAAGATAATTACCACCTAAGGAGAGAGATACAACCAGAGCACCGCCCAATCTCTCGGATACATCCTTCAAAGGGAAACTGGCATCCTGTCCTAATAGAAATCTATAATAAAACTCAACAAAAGCAAACCTTAAGACAACAAACAATATATTTATAATAAGTACTAGAAACCTTAAGACAACAAACAATATATTAATAAGTACTAGTAGTTAGACTAGAAAAGAAATAGAAAAGGTAAGGGATCAAATAAGAAACAGAGTATGGGGTACTGTAACTGCTACAGTAACACGGCGGTAAGCACCAGTATTACCCTAGTAAGTACAAGGCCTTGGTGTTGTGAATCCATCGAAGGTGGGAGCTATGTTGTAGTGATCACTAGCTAAGGTCTTCAAGGGGTTGAAAATATTTTTGAAACTTACAAAATACTACTGGAAGTTCATGAAATATTGTAATTCGATTGTATAGTCGTTGATGAACAAATTGAAAAAGGATAACTTTTAATGAGGAAAAGAGGCGATCCAAAATTTTGAGAAATAAAAGGTCATGAAAAGTGTACTAGTGATGGCATTGCCTAATTTCAGCAAACATTTCATTGTAGAGACGGATGCTTCAAGCTATAGGTTGGGTGCAATCCTCATGTCGTGTCAACCACACATCGCTTATCTTAGTCAAGTACAAATGTGAGAACCAAACTCAAGTAAATTTATGAGTGAGAGTCATACGACTTGATCCAACAACAGTTTCTTTTTTTTTTTCCACCTTGAGGGCAAAGTATTTTTTTAGAAGGAAGTAAAGTTAGACTGGATCCCAAGGGCAATTTAGTCTTTTATTAGTTATTATAGTGGTGTATAAGTAAGGCTTATTATACTTACCTCTCAAATTATAGGTGTTAGGAGAGATTACCTGCCTCTTAAATTTTAGGTGTTTATCTATTATGTATGGCATTCTGTTGTGTTGTTTTTGGTTGATGAATTACAGCAATTTGTTTTGTCCTAATTTCTACGGAAGTCCATATCATTTTACAATCAATAAAATCAAAAGGGCACACAAGTTGTGCAAGGTTCAAATATTATTACCAGCAATCCTTAGAAATGAATACTTTAAAAAAGAAGTTCAATAAAATTATGACCTGGTTGACAAAACAATTCCTTTAAACAAAAAGGAAAGAGGTCCTTTCTTCTTCTGACTGCCAGATATAATCTCTTGACACTTCGGAAGAATTTCCTCTATTCTCGTATTCCATGCTTTCAACCGCCCCTGTCAAATGAAAGAGAACAAAACTTTTCATTCAAAAATACAGCTTACCTTAAAAGATGCACTTCGAAAGATTGTATAGATGCAATATTAAAGACTAATGTTTACATGAGCATACCTTATCAAGGTGAATATGACCAACAAGGCCGGAAACTGCATCCAAACCATCACAAGGAACTATTTGTTTCTTGTACCTTGCAATATTTTAGTGTTAGTTTATGAAGAACAAAAACTAGATTCATGAAATAGACAGCAGGCCTTCGAAATATCAAGATGTAAAATTGTAAAATATAAAACAAAGGGATGAAAGAGATTCAAATTCACATAAAAGGGAATTAACAATTTTTAGGTGTGAATCGAATGATTTGTAATATCTCAATATGGGGAAATACGCCCAAGAAAAATACATGAAAATTAGCAATGTTTATGTATTAAGTAAAATAGGAGCAATTTGTCAAAATGCGCGTTTCACATTTACAGTAAATTATTCTGTGTAGAGAGAAACATTTTTAGGAAAACATGGATATCCTATACACTTACGGAACAACTAGCCTAATTCTTCAACAAATTGGGGAGCTGAGGAAGTGATTCCAACATTTTCCTTCGATGTCTATCCAATGATAAAATAAATGAACTTTAGTTGAAATTAAACAGCCAAAACGATGGCACTTCAATTCGGTTACAAACTTTCAACTTTCTAAGAAAATCATATTTTTAAAGTATTTTTCATATTGGACATTACGAGTATGATACGACTGTATATAATAACAGAAAACAGTTACCCGCTTGCACAAATATGCCCCGCTAGTTGATAAGAAAATAACATGTTAAATCTTTCCTATAGTACTTCACGTTAAAACAAGTTCTTCACAGAATGGAAATCAAGAATGCAAATCCTCTGAAAAGCCTTCTAAAGAAAGAATTGTTTGAAAACCTACTTTGTAGGTTTATAATATAAGATTAAATAGGGGATTACAAAGTTTTGCAAAAAAAAACCCCTAGACTTCTTCAATATTCCCTTTTCACGAATAGGAAACTAAATAAGGTCCAATTCTCAACACTACCCCGCAAGATGGGCAAAGGATATCCACTAAGCCCATCTTGTCACATAACCTAGACAAATCTAATAAGCTAATTCCTTGGGAAGTCAACCACATACTCTCCGGTGGCTACGTGATTCCTTTAGCAGGGAAGTCAACCACATACTCTCCGGTGGCTACGTGACTTAGCTCCAGTAGCACATAATTCATCTTTTCCTTCATGAAGAATCTATCAATCTCCACATGTTTGATTCTATTGTGTTAAACCAGGTTGTTAGCAGTGTTGATTACTAACTTGTCGCACCAAAAATTCATTTGAGTTCATTGGTCCACATTGAGCTCGATCAATAAGGCTCTCAGGCACATCATCTAGGCAACTCCTAAGGTCATAGCCCTGTACTCTGCCTCTGTTGTTGACCTCGTTACTCCAGACAGTTTCTTGCTCTTCCAAGAGACCAAGTTGCCCCGTACAAACATGCAGTATCCTGAGGTGGGTCTTCCCTCATCTGCACAACTCTTAATCAAAGTCACAAAAGCCCTCAATGCATACATGCCCATTCTTTCTGAAGACCAAACCCATCCCTAGTGCATTCTTCGGGTACCTCAGAATCTGATACACTGCATTCATATAGCCCTTTCTTGGACCATACATGTAGCAGCTCACCACGCTTACAACAAAAAAAATGGTGGGTCGAGTGTGACACAGATAGATCAAACGGGCCACAAATCTCTAACACCTCTCATGATTAACCAGTTCTCCTACCTTTGCATTCCAGCATGCATGTTTGGTCTTCTGGTCAATTGGAGAGACTGTAAGTTTGCACCCCAGCATGCATATTTCTTTGAGGAGATCTGGTACATACCATTATTGGGACAAGACCATTACTTCTAGTCCACAAACCACATCATTCCCAAGAAAGTATATGAGTTATCCAAGATCCTTCACCTCAAATTTATTGCCCAATCTTAGATTTAGTTGGGAAAATTTAGTACAATCATCACCGATAACAACGATATCATCAACATATACAGCAAGTATAGTGGTCTTACCTTCATGTTATCGAAAGAACACCGTATGGTCTGCATTGATCTTCTGGTATCACATGTTCATCATAGCCTTTCTAAATTTCTCAAAGCAGGCTCAAGGGGACTGCTTCAAGTCATACAGTGACATCCTAAGCCTACACACTTTGCCTATAGTTTGGATCGTATTGAATTCCGGAGGTTTCTCCATATATACTTTCTCCAATAACTCACATGACGAAATTCATTTTTCAAATCAAGTTAAGGTAACCTCCACCCACCATTCACTACAAGTGAAACTAGTGTCCTCACAATGCTCATCTTCACTACTGGTGCAAAATTTTCATCAAAGTTAATACCATATGTCTAACTGTATCCTTTCACCACTAGTCGTGTTTTGTACCGCTTCACCTTTCCTTTTGAAGTTTGCTTCACTGTGAAGATCCACATGCACCCAACTGACTTTTTTTCCCACTGGTAGTGGCACTATCTCCCAAGTTCAGTTTTTATCGACAACCTTAGCTTCTTCATCCATAGTCACTTTCCACTTATGATCCTCCTTAACAACTTGCCTCTGTATAGAGAAAGTGTTCAAAGATGCAATGATTGCTCCATGTAAATGTGATATGTTAGAATAAGAAATAAAGTTAGTAATGTCATATTCCCACCCAAAAAGATAGGAAGGATGTCTCTGCATTGTTGCGATATCATCTTTAAAGTTAGGGGTTAGGAGAAGATGGAAAAGGAATCATATCACCTGGAAGCTCTGAGTCGGAGGTGGATGGCCGAGAAGTTTCAAGAGTCGGTGAAGATTGGGGAAAAGGACTAGTTGGCGCAAGTGACACTACACACATCATTTCCTCATTTTATCTCATTCTTCGTGCATACACCCTTAACTCACCTTCAGCCTGAATCTCACCACCTCTAGATTCACTCTCCTCATTTTCGGGTTCCTTAACCGATTCATTGCACATCACAAGAGAAGACATTGTTCCCACATGTACCACTCTCTCGCCATTACTACTCGCCTCTCTTGTCTCATATATGCAGTATATGGCGAGTCATTGAAAAGTGAAGTCACCTCCTGAGTGTAATACGATTCAAATTATCTAAATAACACATCCACGCTCACAAAAAATCTTCTCTATCGGGCTCCAGCAGACATAACCCTTCTGAGTAGCGGAATAACCTACGAACACACATTTCACAATTCTGCGATCCAGCTTCCCTACTTATGGTCAGATACTTTCACAAAATATACACATCCAAACACCTAAAATGGGAGCATCACGTTATTATCTCCTTTCAACATCTGATAATGAGATTGCCAATCCAACATCCTTGAAGGCATCATATTGATCAATTGAGCAGTTGTCAAAACTGCTTGCCCCATAAGTGCTTTGGGACATTCATTGTGATAATCATGCTTCAGACTACCTCTAAAAAGTGTTTATTCTTCCTCTCGACTACACTTTGTGTGGGTTTGCATAGGTGTGGTTTGATGTATCTCTTGGGCTGACAAGTATTTATCAAATGCTTTCTTGGTATATCTTGTCTCATTATCAGACTTCAATACATTCACTGCTGCACCATATTAAATTTGGATTGTCTTGTGGAAGTCTTTAAAACAAACAAACACATCACCCTTATTTTTCATTAAACATAAAAACCTAACACGAGAAAAGCAATCGATAAAAGAGAAAATATCGATAACAAATAATAGAACTTATAGAACAATGTTCCCAAATATCATAATGTATCAAGTCAAAAACACCAGAACTATTCTCAGAACTGATATAAGAGCTCCTAATAAGCTTGCCAAACTCACAAGCATCACAAACAAGCTTCTGTTTATTTTCCTTTTCGTACGACGAAGGAAACAACCGGTTCAAGAAATTAAAGTAAAAGTGTCTCATCCTTTTCGTACGACGAAGGATACAACCGGTTCAAGAAATTAAAGTAAAAGTGTCTCATGCGTCTGTGATGTAGTAGCAACACATAATCTGCACTCCTCCCATATTCTCCTATTCCAACACTCTCAACCATGGATGTCAAAGTTGAGTTCATCCCTTCTCGGTCAAAGCACCAGAATCTATTATGTCATGTTCCTGTCCCAATTGTCCAGCTCATCCCTTTCTCTTAGAAGATCACCATAAAAAAAATCAAAACAAACAACATATTTTAATTGTAGAATAATGACACTAATGGAAAAAAATTTCACTAGAAAAGAAAAAGCATGCAAAATATTAGAACAAATTCATATGATTGGTACCCTCACTACACCGTTACCAGCAATAGGCTATGGTGTACCATTAGCAGTCTGCATGCTCTCTGGTGTTGTTAAGAGAGTATAAGAAGAAATATCTCTAGCAGTACTTGTCACATGTCGAAATGCACAATAATCTACTATACATTCTTATAATCTTGTGATGGAAACAAAGGCAAGAGCATGTGTATCATAAATACGTTTATCAAAGTGAGCATAAGTGGCAATGTTACCCTTCGATGAAGACTAGTTGGAAGCATCCTCAGCTCCATCTTTTGCTACTTCATGCTTCTTCAACAGCTCTAGACACATAATCCTCATTGGTAAACACCACACCTACCATCAGATTTCCTCGGTAGCCCCCTTTTCCACCATTTCGACCACCACTTCCACAATCACAACCTCCGCCCTATCCACATCCACATGTCTCTCTCCTTAGGTGGTCTAGAACAGGTCTTGCTCAGATGTCAAACTTCACCGTAGTTAAAGCACTTGTGGGGCTCCCCTGAACACCTATCATACCTGAGCTCGAGGAAACCAAAATTGACCACACACCCAGAAATCCACTCAGCTCTGAGCTTGTCTTCATGCGACTCTCCTCCTATATCAACACAGAAATGGCCTCATCCAGTGAAGGGATAGTTGCCTGAGCTAGGAGGACAAATCTTCCCTAATAAAAGGATGAGTTCAAATAGGTCAGAAACTGCATAGTCCTCATCTGTGTAAAGATCTCCCCTTTTTTTGCACTACAAATCGCTAAAGCTTGACATCATTGAGAAGTGAACAAGATTTGTCCACAGTCGCTCCAACTCTATGGAGTACTCCTGAATCAATCTATCAACCAAAACCACTACCTCTATCTCACTGAATCTAGATCAACCTCATGTGGTTCTCAGCTCCAGCATAGATCTTCCTCAGATTCGTCCAAATGTCGCAATCCTTGTGAATTTCATCTGTTATTGAAACAATCGATGCAACCATCGAATTGAGTTGTCAGGTACAAAGAAAGGGATGTGTGGTCCTCCACTCATCCCTCTTAATATTGTCACTCTTTGGTTGACCACACATCCCTCTTAATATTGTCACTCTTTGGTTGAACCCCCTTCCCTCTTAATATTGTCACTCTTTGGTTGAACCCCCTTCAACTACCCCTCTAGTCTCTTCCCTACTAGAGCAGCCTCGATCCGCCGTGAAAAACCCAGATATGTGGCTGAACCATCAAGTTTTAGATCCACGGGAGGGAGATCTAGCTTCACCTGTGTTGGAGCATGTGCTGAAGTCACAGTCCCCGTTAAGATGCTAGCTCCCCGACCAAGACCATCAGAATTTCAAGATTTATCTTCCCAAGAAACTCCAAAACGTTTACCTCCCGCACTATCTCTGTCTACTGACATCCTCAATCTAACTATGTCCTGGCATTCGTCGTCCTTTCAAGTACGTAGAACAAAAGTTCTCTCCTTCACTACTCTGATTTCACCCTGCCATACGCCGAGCCACGAACTATTCTACCAAGATCCAACAACTGAAGGCATCGTTAGTTCATTAACTTCCCGAGTCATGCAATAGCACTTATAACACGAGTGTTTGTCGATCCCATCATTCCCTTCCCAGTTAACTCTATTTGCAATTGTATCGTGTCGTGCAATAGCGTCTGTATTGCAAGTTCACGCCACGATCCCTTAGCTGCAATCCCAGTTAGCTTTAATCGCAATTGTTTCGTGATGACAAAGTGGAAGAAAGAGGAAATCGGCATGACAATCCCGATGATCGAGCAATACCAACGATGCCCACCGATCCCAACGATCAAGCAGCACCAACGACGGCTCTTAGGGTTAGGGATCTGATAACATAAAGAAAAAATCGTTCGAAAACTTGCTTTGTACATTCATAACATGGGCATAAATAGGTTATTACAATATTTTACAAATAAACCCCTAAAGTTTTTCAATATTCCCTTTTTACCAATAGGACCCTAAATAAGGTCCAATTCTCAACACCTTCCTTGAGGCTCATACCAAATATCTGCTTGCAATATGCACTGATATTTGATAAGAAAATAACATGGTAACTCTTTCCTATAGTGCTTCCAAGTAAAATCAAACTCTTCACAGAATGGAAATCAAGGATGAAATTCTTCTGAAAAACATTCCTTCAGGCTTATAACAGTACCGGCTTGCACAATGCACCGGTATTTGATAAGAAAATAACATGTCAACCCTTTCGACAATACTTCATGCAAAAATAGTTCTTCGCAGAATGGAAATCAAGAATGACAGTCCCCTGCAAAACCTCCCCTCAGGCTTATTTTATTAACGGGAATCGAATAAATGAAGCAGCCTTAAAATGAAATTAGCCAAGAGCAAAGTTAATTATTAAAAATCCCATGATGATTTATTTGAACAAATCCGAGTAAAACTGAATAACTTTACTAAGGTCATTTGAGCACCATCAGCAAACTCCGAAGGAGGAAACAATGAACAGATGCCAAGGTTTGCTAAAAACATCACTAAAGAAATCTGATAAAATGAAATATATGGGTTGGGGCTTTTACCATGAATTTTGATATTTGAGTGAGAATTTGAAAAATGGGTGAAAGAGAGTGGTTGATTTGTAAATAGCAAGTTTTAGGTGGTCTGAATGCAATTGCCCCAAAAAAGGGATAAGTACAAACAGACCACCCAAAACATTGAATTTTATAAATTAACCACCCATATGACTTTTTTTAGCCACCAAACTGATGTATTTATGCATGCCACAATCGAACTATTGAGAATTTGATACAAATGAAAAAAATAGGTTTGGGTTTTTACCATAAATTTTGATATTTAAGTGAGAAATTGAAAAAGGGATGAAAGAGGGTAGTTGATTTGTAAGTAGCAATTTTGAATAAAAAAGTGCAAAAAAAATCTAACTAATAAATCTTATCAGATTTAAAAAATAAAAAAAAATAACTGAAGATTAACAAGAATTGGTGGAAAAAGAATTTTCAGAGAATGCAGCAGAAAAGAGTTGGCGAAATTTCATAGTTACTCAATAGTGAATTCAGAAGCACAGTCCCTCAAGGTAAACTTCTTCAAGCAATCCTGAACAGCAAATGCAGCCATTTCCTTGCAAAACCTTTTCCCACAAAGACAGTCGTTCAAATACAGTACCACACGCCGATCATTGATTACATTTTGGTAACCTACTTTGCTAAGCAATATTTCCTACAAAACAAGTGAAACAATGGCTTCTGAGAAAATACTCTGGAAAAGGAAAACTGATATTCAAAAAAGGAGAATAGAACATGGCAATTTTAAAGCCATAACAATGTATGTACCTTCATCAACTCCCATGATGAATTTGTACTGAGAGAAGAATCCAAGACAGCTTTATAAGCTGGATTAGATATTGCAGTTGCAGCCAACACCCCAACTGGCTCACCAGCAAGCTCTCCAATCGAAGTATCAATATCATCCTTCACTCTATACTGAAATTGAATAACAAAATTTCTGCACACATTCCTCACAGTCCCATCATAACAAACTACAACATCTCGAAGAATCGCCATTAGATTCTTAAACAATGTTCCTGGCTCTGTCAGCCCTCTAGAGGAACGAACAATAACTTCTCTTGTGCAAATAGAATGGACAAAATCTTCATATGGATTTAAACCACCAAAGAAAGAACCCTTAACCAGACCACAGGCCTCAGATGGAACACCAACTCCATCAATCGAATGTTTTCCAAGGTAATATGAAAACACATCCTGAACTAGGGTCTTCGAGTACAATTTTCCTCTCTCAAATAGTTCAAGGCCTAAAAATCCTAGCTGTTGCAGAACTTTAAAGATTGATGACTCACTCTTCGAATCAATCATAGTACCAACTGATGAAGTCTTCAGAATAAAATCAGTGATAGGAAATTTAAGAATTTTGAGAAGATCCTCAACTTGCAAGTCCTGGCCTTCTCTATAAGATGATCGGGGTTTGCTGAGCAAACAAGATATCTCTTGCAATTTGAAATGAATATCTTCAAGAATATCCTTTGGGACATCAAAATCCTGCAAATTGATACTGAATCCTTGTACATTTAACATCTCCATAAGCAGAGGCTGCACAGTGTTCAAAAACACAAGCCCCTCTTTGGAACCTTTAAATGACAAAACAGAAGAAACCATATCAACCAGCGATGCATGGATCATGTCCTTTTTAAAATCAACATGTAGTATTTCACTACCACTGATGGAATGCCTGTCACCAGAACAATCAAGAGAGGCAGGAAATGCACATTGTAACACCTGAAAAATAGTCCAAAATGGGCCATGATTATGAGCCTTGACAAAAGCAGGTGATGGCAAGCCACGGGGAACAAACATTGATAACTGTTGTGCTGTCATTTTTGTCAGAAAACAGGCATTGGATATCAGCCTCAGGGACAACAACGAGTCCTGAACAAACTGCATATTTAGCAAATCATTATGAGAGCTCAGAAGTTGTTTTTCAACACTAAATAACTCAATAGCTTCGGCTTTTGCAGCAAGTGACTGCGGATAAAATATATGCACACAATCACCATCAAAGTCAGCTCCAATAGGAGAACAGACCAATGGATTGATTTTCACAACATTCTCATCATGAAGTGACACGTAAAAAGCTTGGACAGAGTGTTTGTGTGTACTAGGAGGACGATTAAGGAAAACCACATCACCATCCATTATTCTGCGACACACAATTTGACCAACTTTTAGCTTTACATGTCCTTCAGCACTAGTTTCTATAGAGAACTTCGTCTCCCCATCTGTATAAGCCACACATAACCTATTATTTACCATCTTCTGCAAGCGCTCCAAGTTATAGACAGACACTCTCTCCTCAAAGGTAACCTTTTTAGCAATTTCAGATGGTAAGCCAATAACATCAATCCCTATATAAGGATCACCAGTGATTACACTTCGAGAAGAAAAGCCAGATCCTTTACTGATAAATAACGTTCTCATCTTATCAAGCCATTGCTTCGAAGGATTTTCAGCTGCCACGCTAATCTTTAACTTCCCATTTATGTCATGAGGTACCTTGAACGTAAAGAGTAAATGGGAAATATCTTAAAGAAAAAGGACTTTAGAATGATAATTTGAAAACATCTTTCAAATAAAATAGAGGGATTCAAACACAGAAACATCTCATTATGTAAATTCATTTACCTTCGCAACACCCCTGAGACTCAAATACCGTGCAACTGCTACCTGCAGGCTACTCAAGTCACTTTCTGGAGTTTCAATACAAGAAGAATGATTAGTCTTTATTTTCTCGATGCTAGTGAAAATTCTTCGAAGTAAATTTTTTGAATTGTCCTGAAAATACATAAACATAGTATAAATAGATGGCTACTAGAAGCAAAACAAACAATCTATACCAATCAGTAATGTTACAGTTTCTCTCAAAACAAACTTACCGATGACATAATTATCTTGCCATCTGAAATTTGCGGCAAGGATAAGCAGTTCGGAGGAACAGGAAAATATTGAATGATGAAACCAGTATGGGGAAAGAATCCCTTTGCAGATAGCCTTCTCCTAGTTTCTTCTGGTATCTCATTAAAAATACGAATAACCTCGAACATTGAAAAAATAACAGTGGGAAACTATAAGAATATGTTTTACAAAGCGAGAAAACAAATATCATGACAAGAGATAAAATGCCCACTGCTGAAAACTTCCCACATTGGAATAAGATCACATAAAAGATGCAACGTGAACGGGAGAAAAGCAACCAGTTGAAAGGCTGGTAATAGAAGAAGATGATGAAGGAAACAATAGTTCTACAGGTTGAGGTGCTGGGAGCGTTGAATAACAAATCAAATAATAGTCCATGCATCAGCATGTCTAAAATCCAAGAACATAAAGAGATTCACCGCAGCAATGATAAAAACGTTACAAATGTCATAATCATCTAATTGTATCCACTGCTGTAATGAAAAAACCATTAGAAGCCAGACGACAAAATTCCATCAACAACAGGGCAATCTGCAAACTATTAGAACAGGCCATTATCATGTGGCTAAGGGGACAATTAGGACCACTTTTGTTTTGGCTTACCATCTGAAATTGCTATTTTATTTTGTTTTGATATAGTAGGAGTATCAATTCGGGCAGGCCGAGTTTGTGTCCTACCTGAAACTGACCCGACCCAAATATTATACCGATCGAAAATCCCAAACCGAACCCGACTTGCATTCAACCTGTCAACCCATACCACACACGTTTAACATAAGGAATAATCACTATTTGGGTTAAAATTGGATAAATTCCGGTACAATTCTGAGCTGGCGGGTCGATTTCAAGTCAATTTAGGGTCGAAGGGACATTTTCGAGTTCAAGTCAACCCATGCCCTACTAAAAAAAACTAAAAGGTTTAGTATCCTTGAATCAAACACGAAAAAAATATTATTCGAGTCAACCCATACCTGAATTTTTTTAGTCATGTTCGGGTCGAGTAATCGTGTCGGGTCAATTTTTAACATCTCTAGGATATTATTTAATCCTTTACAACAAATGCAAAGTTCACATTTCTCTCAAGATTATTTGTTTAAGGAAAATATTTAGTAAAAGAACAAAAATATACATGATATTTATTTCTATATATAAATATAAAATATTCATAAGGAATTGTCAGAGGCCATAAAACGAGACCCCAACCACCCTCATGTGTCTAACCACTCGATCCCGCGCCGCAAGAGAAATGCACTAGGACGGGATCGAACATGTAACTCCAAGGGACTTAGCACTGACTTCGTAGATGCCAACTAAAGAGTTACAACGAGCCACACTATATATATATATATATATATATATATATCTATGTGTGTCTGTGTCTGTCTGTATGTGTGTGTCTGAAGAGGGCACACGCGCGTATGTGTATGTTTAACTGCATATACATCTTAAAATGTTGGAGTCACTCTCGAATAGGCAGGTTAGGAAAGCAATGTTCCCAATGGCACACATCGACGATTCCTATGATGACCGTTATATGAAACAAAAAATAGTAAAAAAAACTGTAACAATAGAACCGAATCCTTCATTATTTCATTTTACTATTTTTGCCCTTGACGTTTTATGACACATGAATAAATAGTACTTTACTCATCTATAAACTTTTTAGATCGTGAATTATTATAATTTAGAAACATCTTTAGCCACATTTGTTTGACGCATATTATAATTGCAAAATATTTTCAAATAAATCCCATTTTGAGTGAATGGATAAAAAAAATTGTCTTAAATAATAATTAGAAGCTCCCAAAGAGAGTAGAATAATGAAATTATTTTACATTAGTACATATTAAAATTTGAATGAGTTATTTAAAAAAAAAAATCTTTGGATGTAGCTGGGCTCCTTTATAACCTGGAAAACTCCTAAATATTTACAAAAAAATCATTTAGGCAAAAAAATATTTATTCAAAAAATTTCTCCGTCAAACCATCAATTCTCATCTTGGTATTTCAAACTTTCAGCCTGATTCAAGCAAGGAGGTTCTAGTGCTTGAAGAGAAAGAAGACACAACTCTCTAAAAAAGACAAACAGATAAAGCAATCTCTAGCAGCATAAAACCAAAAAAAAGCTGTCCAACATGTTTCAAAAACCACATATTTATAATATATAATATAAAAACAAAATAAACCTAATTTATCTCTGAAAATGTAAATAGACATTAAGGAGGGATCAGTTAGTCCTGGTGGGCGTGACCCTTGGATCGGCCAAGAGAAAGAACCAATGGAAGCATCCGATGATGAAACCGCATCCGTATCCCGAACAGGCATCTATATCATTTGAACCACAAACAAAGAGTTTCATCTTCATCATCGGATGCTTCTAGATCCTAGCAATATGGCAGCAAGTTAGCAATATTGAAGGTAGCATAAATACTGTAATCACCTTCTTGTCTTTAACTAATCTGATAACTATAAATGAACCATCAATCCTCATCTTGAGTTTCCCAAAAAACCCTTAAAAAAATCTCACTTTTTAAATCTAACCAATACTAAATCACCTTCCTTGAAAACCATGTCTTTTTTGAATTTCTTAACCTACTTCTGATATTTGGCATTCTAATTAGCAATTTCCTTAGTCACCTGCTCCTGTAAGGTCTAAATTTTCTTGACCCCAGTCTTTGCATTGATACAATGTTTAATATCTAGTAGTATAGGCACTAACTCCAACAAAGTGAGAGGATATTTCGGTGACAATCATTAACAAATACAACAATCATACTTGGTGACGTGGGCGTACCAAAGTGACTTAACTTGAGCTATTAGAAAAATGTGTTATAGATGCAAAACCACAAATTAGATCAAGGTTGAGTGACGGACTTGCTTTGTAAGATAGTTAAGTGATGGTTGGAGAATAATGAGTGATGTGGCCGAGCCAGGAACACTCGCATCAAAGAACAGAAAATAGCAAACCCCATGACTTGAGAACAAAGAATGACGAGCACTAAGACTAGTGTTCTAAAAAACTGCAAGAGAGGAGACCTCTCACATAACAAGCAATAAGCAATTCAACTACCAATCAGCGTTGCACAGAATCTACATAAGCTGAGATGCTCATGCATAAGATGCAATGAGACAAGATGTGAAGTGTAACAAATAGAAGATTAAGATAATATACTGGTGCAGCCGCGCGCCAAATAATTTAAAATTTCATATGAGGCGCATGACTAATAGGACAATTTAGTCATTTTTTTAGTATTATAATGTGGTATAAAAAGGGTTATGTTATGTGTGATTGTTATCTTCAATCTTAGAGTTAGGATTTAGGAGAGATCGCTACCTGTCGAATTACAGGTGTTTATCTTTTATTTATTCGAGATTGTATCATTTTGATTTTGTACTAGTGGAATAGAATATACTGTTTCTTGGATAATTTCTGTGGAAACTTGTCTCGTTCCAATCAAATTGGTATCAACACATTGAAGCCATTGCACCACTAGAAAATCTTTGTCGTTCACATCTGACGCTACTGCTCCACCCCATATCGTTTCTAAAATCGTTGTGTTGCCTTCATGACCGAAATTTATAATACAGTTGTGAATTTAAAAAGTTGGGAAGCCAACAACGGGATCGCGGGTTGCATTCGTGAGTGGGCCACGTGATACAGCTAAATAAAATCTAAAATGGAGTGTTTCTCGTCCAAAAATGAGCACTTCTCATCCATGGAAAGAAGATTTATAGCTTTGGAAAGACAATGAAAAAAATCGCATAGTTTTACACAAAACTGCCACCGTCTGCAACATGAGCAAGTGGCACCATCTGAATCAGACTTGAGCAGCAGCAATCAGAAGGATTAACGCAGCATCAAGGTAGAATCGCTGCTTTAGGTAGATCTGGAGCCGTGGGATCACGTGAATGAATCGAGAGCGTATTAAAGCGGCAACATCTAGAGGGAAACATGCAACATCTGAAGGTTTACATTTAACAGCGACAGGAGGAACAGGATAGAGTGTGATTCGGGCCTAGAGATAATCGATTCAAACAGTCTCAACATGAAAAAGGGAACCACAGTGTATGGAAACCCGGCCGAGGGCAGCATCTAATTGAGCCAAAGCCTTTAATTGCGGCAGTCTTCCAGGAGGAAGGCAATTCAGAAGCCTATGTGATCAGACGAGCGGATTATGGGGTGATTTGAAGATGGGGCGAGCCAATTTGATGGAAGAAAAAAATCCATATGGGTGGAGGATGGAAACACAATCACCACTTCATGGGCAGAACGAACTTCGATGAAGGAAATTAGAAAGGAGACTCACACAAAGCAGTTGAAGAGTCAATTTTTGAAGAAGAGGACGTCTATAGTTCAGTTTATCGTGTGGAGGGATACTTTGTTGATAATTGACACGGTGGATAAAAAATTGATGGTAGCGGTCCTCTGTTTGGAAGAGAATACTCTAACGTAAAATCAATGCAGAGAGCAACTGCAACCGATCAAAAAATGGGAAAAAATCAAGAATTGGTTGTTGAAGCGTTTTAGAACAATGCAAGAAAAGGATTAACACGAGCAATTTTTGTGTTAGTCCTGGATGGGTATGTAATCAATTATAAGGAGAAATTTGAGATATTATCTGGTCATTTGAAGGGGATATCGAAAGTAGTATAGAAAGGAAACTTCATGAAAGGGTTGAAACAAAGATTCGAGCAATGTTTCGTCAGTTGAGGCAGTGAAAATTGGGGGAAACTATGAAATTAGCATAGTTGATTGAAGATAAAAATGCAATGAACGAACTAATAGGAGCAGCACAATTGGAGCACCCTACCGAAACGATAGGACCATGAGGACACCAAAACCTCAAATAATGGATCCCAGGGGGAGGTTCCACGAGACATTAAAAATAGATCAAACCCGGAGGCGACACTCAAACGCCTTACAAAGAAAGAAATTCAAGAAAATTGAGCAAAGAAGTTATGTTTTCAGAGTGATGAGAAGTTTGCCCCAAGACAATTGCAAGGATGAGACCTTTCATGTTGTCACAGTTTGTGACGAAGCAGGGGATCAAAAAACATGAGAGGTTGTCGAGGAGGAAAGCTTTCATTTGGATTTGACAAAAGTCTAGTTGAACTCAGT